TCGAGGAAAGGGCATTCTTACTGATTGATTGAGCTTGGTTCGAGGTAAGTGTCTTGCCTATCTTCGTGTGGGGGAACTACCCCTTAGGATTTGAGTCTTCTATGCTAATTGTAGTCCGTGTACGCGAGGTGACGAGTACGTGCTCTGACTTATTTGTGTAAAGTTGGCCTTTTAGGGTTCTTAGGTCCTTGTATTCACTCATTATGCAGTTGTTATGTTATGAATACATCTCGTAATTACTAGTTTCACCTCTACCTGCTTTAATTAGAATTAATTGCTTTATGATCCGCCCTTGATGCTTATTTGAGTCATCTGTGCCTTAACTAAAATTGTTATCTCTTCTATTGCCATGTTATTTTTCCCCTAACTGCTTATCTTTATTTGAAGTTATAATTATCTCTTTTGTAATTGTTCATCCTTAATTGAGGCTATGATTATCTTTCTGCTGCTTATCCCTAATTGAATTTTTTGTATCTCTCTCTTAATTGCCAACCTTAAAAGAAGTTAAATATCCTACATTTTAGCTGACTTAACCTTATTTGGAATTATTTGCCTTGTGTTAGCTCCCTCGTGGTCGAACTATACATTGTGGACCGTTGTTACATAATATTTCCTTTCTTATTGAGTTGTTCTTATTATGACTAGTATTCTCAATTGTAGCCACTCCTTGTGAATTAATTCCTCTGTTCCTTTGAGTTCTGGAATTTCTGAGTTGATTTATTTACCGTACCCTTGTATTAGTGTTATTATTGATGTTGTACTTGTTGTTCTTGCATACTTACTTTGGGACTACGAGGCGGTACCTCGGGAGATTCCCCTGTCTTGCATATTTACTTTTGGGACTACGAGGCGGTACCTCAGGAGATCCTCTGTTGAGCATTTACTCTTGGGACTACGAGACGGTATCTCGGGAGAACCTTTGTTGACATCTCTTTGTTATAGGGTTGCACGAGGTTTCTGCTGTGCTATTGTTACTATTGATATTTGCACATGCGGCATGACAAGGCGAGATATATATATGTGGGTTGCGCATGTGGCGAGACAAGGTGGGAACATTATTATGCACGTGTGGCGAGACAAGGCGGGCATTTACTTTACTATTGTACACGTGGCGAGACAATGTGGGCTATGTCAGGGATTGATTTGTGATGATTTGTGATAGCCTGGTGGTATTCTTGTTGTTGATATTTGTGTAGTGGTACACTTACCTGTGTGAGCTTTATCTTGTGAAAGTTGTGAGAAAACATTCTACGTATTGTCCGTTCTTTTCCTTATGCTCACTAGCTGGTATGAACTATGTTAGGACACTTGCACAAGCATACACGTAGTTAAGAACTCTTATCGGATAAGAGGTTTTCTTGATATTGTTCAGTATAAATGCACACCTTGCTTACTTGCCTTCTATGTAAGAATGGCTCTATTTGGCATGCGAGTCTGTCAGTGCGGTTATGAGGTGTAATGAGGGCACATGATGCCAAGTGTTAGGGTTCAGGTATTGAGACCCATGAGTTGTAATTTGTCCGAGGTTTGGTACCTTGGGGAGTTTGTTGACTAAAACCTGATGTGAAAGCGGTCGTTGTTGCTGAGTTATTATTTGTTCTTGCTGTATCTGTGATTTCGAATTTTGGATGTGTTTACATTCACCCTTCTGTGTCATTATTATGGTATTCCGTTGATACTTGTTGTTGTCCTTTCCTATTACAATTACTGTATTGTTAGTCATATCGTGTAGTCTTTACATAGATATTATACTATGTTGTTTCTATACTTGTACTTTGTTCAGGTCATTTAGTCCAGTAGGTGTCTTGACTGTTTCTCGTCACTACTCCACTGAGGTTAGTCTTGATACTTGTTGGGTACTGTCGTGGTGTACTCATACTACACTTCTATACATTTTTGTGCAGATCCAGGTAATTCGAAGTCAGTTGATCATTAGCTAGCTGTGTAGATTGTTGCTGTGGAGACTCAAGGTAAACCTGCTGTTGCGTTCGTAGGCTTCAGAGTCACCTTTTGATTTGTGTTCATACTGTTACTTTATTTCAAACAGTTCTATTTAGAAAAATTGTAGCAAACTCTGTAGAGCTTATGACTTGTACTACCGATTTTGGGAATTATAAATTTTATAGAGATTTCTATTTCAAAAGTTGTTAGATATTATTTATTATTATTGTTATTCAGTAAATGTTAGGCTTACCTAGTCCCTAAGACTAGGTGCCATCACGATACCCAACGGAGGGAAAATTAGGTCGTGACACCTGTTGCACTACAATATACAAAATCATATAAAAAATGCTAACCAACAGACTACAAGGACAAGCTGCTTTTGTACCTGGTAGGGTGATTGATAAAGGACAAGCTGCTTTTGTACCTGGCAAGGTGATCAATGATAATATTATACTTAGCCACGAGCTAATAAAGGGTATGAGAGAAAAGGAATATCACCTAGATGCATGATCAAGATTTACATACAAAAAGCCTATGACACACTAGAGTGGGTGTTCCTGGAGCATGTGCTTATTGGGTTGAATTTCCCTGAGACATTTGTGAAATGGATTATGACCTGTGTACAAACAATATCCTACTCTATTGTAGTTAATGGTAAGGCAACTACTCCATTTATTGCAAAGAGAGGGGTAAGGAAAGGGGATCCATATCTCCATATCTTTTTGTAATAACAATGGAATACCTTACCAAACTGCTGAAGACTCTGAAGAACAACCCTGACTTTAACTATCATCCTAGGTGTGCAAAGCTAAACCTAGTGCAGTTGGGATTTGCAAATGATCTGTTCCTATTCTATAGGGGAGATGTGATATCTGCAAAGATATTGTATGCTTGTTTTGATAGTTTTTCTAAGGCTTCTGGGTTAGTAGCTAACCAGGAGAAAAGTTTTGTCTATTTTGGAGGAGTTGCTCCTAACGTACAACAGGGAATCCTGCAAACTTTGGGCTTCCAAGCTGGCACATTGCCTTTTAGATACTTAGGTGTACCTCTGAGCTCTAAGAGGCTATCAGTTGGGCAATGTCAACCCCTATTAGACAAAATGACAGGAAGGATCACTACCTGGACTGGAAAACTAATGTCTTATGCAGGCAAGTTGCAGCTGATTTAGAGTGTACTTATAGCTATACAAAATTTCTGGTCTCAAATATTCATATTGCATTAAAAGATCATTTAGGTGATTGAAGCAATTTGCAGAAGCTACATTTGGACAGGAGCTATAGAATGTTCCAAAAAAGCTCTCATTGCTTGGGAAAAGTTATGCTTGCCTAAGGTTGCTGGTGGATTGGACATAACAAACATTGGCTTATGGAACAAAATAGTTGTACTAAAGCACTACTGAAGTCTGGGGCAGAAAAAAGATAGATTGTGGATCAAATGGGTCCACACATATTATATAAATGGGAATATGATGAATGGAGTAAAACACAAGCACACATCTTGGGTTGTGCAAAAGATCTTCAATGTAGGGAAATATATTGAAGAGGCTGGGCTAATAGTAGAGGAGACTATGAGCAGGGATAAGTTCTCCATAAAGCAAATGTATAACAACATTCGAGGTGATTATTCCAGAGTTCATTGGGGGAGGCTGATATGTAATAATCAAAGCAGTCCAGGGTGGTCCTTCATTTTATATATGGCTGCACATAATAGGCTATATACGAGAGATAGGCTCATCAAATGGGAGATGCAGAGTAGCCCGATATGCATTTTATGTGAGCAAGAACATGAAACCACACAGCACTTATTCTTCTAATGCAAAATAGCAGCTAGAATGTGGCAAAAACTACTCACATGGCAGGGTGTCAGCAAAGCTGCAATGGGATGGTCTGAGGAGATAACATGGGCAATAAATAATGCATGAGGGAAATGTGGGAAAGCTGAAATATATAGAATGACTTTAGCTAGGAGCATTTACTATATCTGGCAGGAAAGGAACCTAAAACTGATCCAGAACAAACGTAGATCAGAGGATGTGATTGTAAAGATGATTATACAAGTTATACACTGCAGAGGAAGCAAAGTACCAAGACTAGCAAAGCAGATGGCAAGCAGGGGCGGACCTAGAGCATTGAATACGGGTTCCCGAGAACCTAGTAACTCTTGCGTAGACCCTGTATTTATATTAAGAAATTTACTAAATATTTATAAATATCTAACTGTGAACCCAGATATTATTGCATATTAATTTAAAATTATGGTAGGAACCCATAAGCCTCAACTCCTAGATTCGCCTATGATGGCAAGCCTAAACTTCTACCCATGAAGCAATAAGGAGAAGGTCTAACGAGGTGCACTAAAATAAAGGATACTCAGTAATAAAGATTTCTGAAGGTTAGAGTTAGCTAGCATTTGGCCATAAGTTCCCAAATTTGTTCTGAAAAATCTGATTTGGGTGAAGTTTGATTTGAAGATGAAAATGTGTTTGTATATCAGTTTTCAAAACATATTTTCCAAATTTATTTTGGAAAATATGAAACGTGACTTATACCCACAAGTTCTAAAAACTATCACAAATACCCAACAATACCATTATCAATAACATTCATTATGTTATCGCAAACCATAGTCCTGAACATAAATAAATTTGATACAAAATTATTATTTTTATAATAAACTACATGATACTTTATCGGGTGATCGAGAAGACGAAGCAACATTGTTATAAAATAATAAATGGTGGACTCTTTTATAAAATACGGAAGTTTGGGGTAATTTTTAAAATATATAATAGTAATATTTTGGCCCAAAACCAGCTATTGAGCTGAATTTGAGATTTGAAATTTTGCCAAAATGTAGGCAAAATCTAGGGCCAAATATGTATTTGCCAAATAAAACTCAAATTTATTTTGGCAAAATTTATAGCCAAATGGGTCCTTAGTAGAAGAGATTAGAGATGCATGCTAAAGTTGGGGTTGCATGTCCAACTTTAGAAGGATGACATACTTGTACAGAGTATTCACATAAATAGAAAACTTATTTACCAAAAAAAAAAAAAAAGAGAGCCAAAACCCTAAAACACTAAAGAGGCCAAAATCTAACGAGCAAAGTCTTGTATTACTCTGGAAGCAAAGGTTCCATCTTCTTCCTCTCTCTCAATCCCCAATTTCAATCTTCCAAAATTTGTTATTTTATTTATTTTTACAGATTTTAATCTTAATTTACAGTTAATCACTTTTTCTTGTTCTTAGATCATGGGATTCGTTTCTTGGCATGGCAACATGGATCGGCGACCGGCGATGTCGATGCAACCAATTGGAGCCATGGGCGTGGCTGGGTTTTCTCTGCCTTAGCAAGAATACAAATCCGAGCATCTAATTTTTATTTATTTATTTTGCCTTTGCCATTGCTGTAATTTTGGGATGCGTTTGAATTCTCAACCTTTATTGTCACACTTCTAGGAAATCTTGCTGCAGTTTCAGCTGTGCACTCCATTGCTGTGTTTCGTGCTATTGAGGTCGAATCTTTCCTTTTATTTCTTGTCCCAATTAGTTGGTTGTACTTGTTTATAATGTGAATATGTATATTTAAGTCAGTATCCTATGCCTTGCACAATAGGTGTTTGAAATTAGGTATGACAATTACTTTCCATTTGGTATGTGTTCTAAGATCGTATTTGTGGTTTTCTGCACCATCGTTAATCGAAAACTTCTATATGCGTGTGTTTACTTTGATTTTCTGAACCTAGTTCCGCTTTTGCTAATCTGAAAGCATTTTTTCGATCACTTCCTTGCTTCAGATTAATTGTTGTTCTATGTTGCCTTTATGAGATCGATATGTAAAATTTTACAATTATACAATACTATGACTTTATATCAATAGCTCATTTAATTCATATTCGGTGGTTTGAACCTTGTTGCTTAGTATAATTTTTTCAATTAAAGTTGGTTTTGAAAGAAAAGATATATTACATGATATGTGGGAGCTTTACATGACTCACGAGTTACTTTCTTCATTCTTTTTAGGTCAGAAGTGTTTGTCAGTAAGTCTGTAGCAATGAGTTTTTGAATTCGCAGCTAAATGTATATATAATTGCCATGTTAAAAGGATATGGCTATACATTTGCTCTTTTTATAGCAAATGAAAATTTTAGCTATAATGTTATATATTTCATAGCTAAAGGTATTGATTCTTAGCTACAATATAAAAATGGTTATGGCAAATACTTCAACTTATAGCTATAGATTATTTTTTTCATAGTTAAATACGAGTACTATTGCCACGAGACCAGGCTATAGAAATAGCCACAAAATTTTAGTTTGTGTGGCAAACAAATTCAATCTCTTGCTACGATGCAACACCTTGTGGCTACAATATGAAGATAGCTATAAGTTTTGTCCGTTCGTGGCAAAGGAATAAAATCACTTGCTATAAGTATATTTTTGTGGCAAATTCTTTTTACTATCACAGCTACAACTCAGAAAAATTTCATAGCAATAAGTATTAGTTCTTAGCCACAGACCATGTAAAGTTTGTTGCTAACTTTTAGTTACGCTACATCTTACTATGAATGCTACGGAAAAAAATATGGTAGCTAAAGTGTTTAGCCACATAAATTTTCATATTTAGTTACAATGTATTTCATAACTGCATATGCATAATGTTGTAGTGAATTAATGTTGAAACTGAATACTTAACTAAACGTGAATATCACAAATAAAGGCACCTAACAATTGGTAATACACATAAGCGTGTATTCATGTCACATGTAATGTCGTACTGAATAAGAATAAGTGAACTAAGTATTGGATCATGAAAAGACATGACTTAGCTTTATCTAACATATGGAGCACAAGGGTTCTAATGAAATTCCTAGTTCCCTACTAGGAAAGTAAACCTCAACTCACCTCAATTTGACTTTCGGTCCAATCATAAGTTCAAGATGACCGGCAATTCAATTTCGAAACCGTCACGATCACGATACCGATAAATAGAATAATTAGTGAGCTAAGGAAAAATCTTTCACGGGCAGGGGACAAAAGAACCTTAACTGGTTCAAAACATCTTACATTGCCTAACAAGGAAAATCATACCAATTAAAATTCTTTACTTCTGTGTCCATCATATAAATATATATATTTTTTCTCAACAAGGTTTAGTGCTTTAGCAAATTCCTCAAAAATATCCTAAGACCACCCGTACAAGAGATCATGACCAAATACCTTAGTTTTTCTAACAGTTTTTTTCCTAATGTATTGTGGATGTCATTTATTTCTTGGTAGAAGAGTTAATTCATCTCAATCTTATCAGTTCATTATTTCAAAATTTCCCCAAATACACACTTATACCTTAACTCTTGTCTATAACTAGAATATTTATCTCCATATATACTTGGTAATAAAGAACAAGGGAGGAAGAACTAATAAAGAATAAAACCTAGTGCACTGTGTCAACACGGAGATGTTACCTGTGTAACTCGACAGAAGCTGTACGCCGTTCTCCTTAAGCTTTTGTTTCCAATCCTTAGAAAAAGGTTTCTTTCTTTTCTCCCTTTTTTCAATTGCCTACACTTATTGGGGTTGCTAGTCACGTGACCCATGGGTTTGGACCAAGGAGTTTATTAACATATGTCATTCTCTTTAATTTGATCCCTTAGCTAGTGGCCCAAGTAGTTATTACATAAATTCACATCTTAGTAAAAGTGGCCATAAACTATTTTAGAAAGGCAACCAACAGATGATTAAATTTGCTGCCAATGGAACTTAGGGAAATATGACTTTCATTCTTCTTTTTAATATAATGTAAGTCTAATCATATTCATTAAATTTGCCACATATACTCTCCATGGACATTGATCTAAAATTTACTATTCGGTGATATACCCTTGGACAAATACCACATACTACGATCATGATAATAAACATATCTCATTCATGCCATTAGGGTAGTAATCGGCGTATATAATGTCTAAATATTCACGAGGCCTTACAGTAGCTGGAAAAATCAAACACCCAAATGGTTTGTCACCCTCAACTTCTCCCTCTGCTTCGTCGGGAAAAATGGCAAAAGACAAAATAATAGACGGAGAAGAGGGACCAGAGGTTTCAAGTCAGCAAGTTGGGGAGGTCATTGTAGCCCAAGAGGATGTTGCAGGTAGTAGTGAAACATCAAAAGTGCATATCACTCATCTTGCTCCGACGTTTGATCTGAATGTTGCCTCTCCATCAGGTAATGCCTCTCTTGTATATGCTGATTCTACACTATTGGGTGTGAGTGAGAGGGAAGCTGTAGAAACTATGCTACTTATTGCTACCAAAGGAGGGTTGGTTGGGGAGTATGAGTGTGGTGATTTGACCGCTGGGTCTCAAAGGGAAGGAGAAGGAAATGGAGTTGGAATTGGGGAACTGGTGCCTCATGGTAACTTGGTGCCAATTAGTACTACATGGGAGCACCAGAGGGACCTGCTCTCTCTGTCCCAGAAGAGCACTCTGCTCCTACTTGGGATGAAACCTTATGCTCTAAAAAAGAGCCTCTGGACAATACTGACCCTTTTCCTTCTCCTCACTTTTACGCAGTGCCATTAGACTTTGTAATTCCTGAGATGAGACCTTTGTCTGAAGAAAAGAATGATTACAGTGATGAGGACTATGATGATGTGACTGTGGCAAGTTTTATTGCTGCTAGAAGTGGTAGGGCAGTTCTCAAAGAGCCCGTTCTTAAAAGACCCACTACTAGGCAGCAGAAGAAAGAATCTCTTGAGAGTGCTTTAAAGAGAAACAAAGAGAAAAAGAAAAAAGAAGGTTGGTGAAAGGGGGAGAGTTAGTAAATGAAGAGGATGTGCCTCTAGAAAACATTGTGAATGTTGAAAATGAAGAGGTGAATGAGGAACCTGCTTACTTGATTCGTAAATCCTCTAAGAATTCTGTGCTTGCAAAGCCTAAGAGAGGATCGTCTGTGAAAGGGGTGGAGATTGATAAAGAGAAGATTGTCGAAGAAAAGGAGTCTGGTGAGAAAAGCAAGTCTAAAAATAAGGAGAAAAGTGTGAAGAAGTTTAAGAAGAGGAAGGCAAGTGACAACGCGGAACATGGTTCCTCCAAGAAAGCCAAAGTATAAGTGTTTGAAGTTGAGAGAAGAGAAAATTTGAAGAAGCAAAGGGTGCTATGGGGCAGAACGTTTGACGCTAACATTATTGAAATGTCAGGCATGAGACAACTGTTTGCAATCTGTGAGTTTCATAAGTGGACTCATCTGTTTACCATTCAGAGTCCCAAGGTTTATGAAGATAAGGTTCACAGTTTCTATGCAGATCTGTTTACTATGAAAGACGACAATATCTTCTTGAAGGTTAATTCAGTGGATTTTGTGATGGATGAAGTTATTGTAGAAAGTATCTTGGATGTGCCCACTGATGGGCTCTCATCTATTGAAGGGACCTATTCCCCTAACTTTAGAAAGATCATTCTAAAAGCTCAGGCTATTCAGAGAAGGGAGCGGGGGAACAAGAAGGCACTCATTCCAGAGTATCAGCTTATGTTTGAGATGGTGAACAAGGTTCTACTTCCACGCGCAGAGAGGCGTTCCGTTACTTCGAAAGCGGACATGTTCCTCATGTAAGCACTGGATGTATACACTACAATCAACTTGCCTGGTATTATGATGGTAGGCTATAATCCCGTATTTTAGTTGCTTATTACACTCTAATTCACTGCACTTTACTTGTGTTGAGCTTTAATTGGTAGTGTTTTTACACTTATTGTGTGTTTTATACCTTGTAGGAGTGATTTCGAGTTATGTAGATATTTTGGAGCTAATTCGAGCTATTTGGAGCTTTGAAGTCTGAGCAGAAGCCTAAGCATTTACGCCGGTATCACGTTTGGGGGTCGAAAACCAAGTCTGGATGTCAAAATTTGAAAAACTCATTTCTGACCACAATTTGCACTACCGCCTCTCGGTATGCCCCATGGGGCACTAGTGCAAAAAGTGGCCATAAATCATATTTGGGCACGTTCTGGAATTTTCTACATGCGCGCGGCATGGGGCAGTGCGGCATACGGCACGATAGCCAAAAATGTTAGAGTGACTTCCCAATTCCGCTAAAAAAGCATAATTTGTTCCGGGGATTATTGGTGGATGGCTTAAATACATGGAAAAATACCATTTTCAGGACATTTGACTCATTTTCGACCTAAGGAGGCTAAGGAGGAGTTGAAAGAACCCAAGTACAAGGATTTCATCATTCCTTCCTCACTCAAGATCCGGGTTTGGATTGAATTTATATTTTCCTATACTTTAGTTACATTTGTGAAGAACTTTTCCATGTCTACGGAGTAGATGCTTTTGGATTTGGATGGATTTGGTGTATTGATGATTGTTTGTTGATTATAACTCTATTTTTATGTATTTGAATCATTTTAGGAAGATTTAATTATTGTATCTATATTCACTTGTTCTTGTAATCGAAAGAGGCATAACTTGTGATATCCTTGCATTATATTGTTGGTTGAGTTCATAGATTCTTCTAAGTAGTCGAAAGAGGCTAGTTGAATCATTGATTAAATCTAGTTAGAAGAATAATCGAAAGAGGTTTTCCTAAAGACCGATCAACTACGCATTCTTGCATATCTTCACAATGCTTAAATTGGTTCATCTCGTGAGGTTAAGACTTAATCGAGAGAGGAGTTTTTGCTGAACGTTTGAACTAATAATAGAGTGAA